AACAAAGCAAACTGGAAAGGATCTCATAAAAATCTCATTTCTATTTTTTTTCTCTAGTTGGTTAATGAGTGACTTTTACCTCCATGGACTTCTCTTTGAGCCTTTCTTTTCAACTTAGTGGAGGATTGAGTATATCAAACCTTTATAACAGTAGCTTTGGTCTAGAGAGTAATCCTGTAAACAGGAGTAAAGCAAACTCAAGGAACCGACTCAAGGTTTGAAGATGCATCCCAGAGAAGCACCAGCTACTCTGTTCTTTTGCCTCTGCCTGAAGCTGCATCCTCAGTGCCAGGGAAATTTAGAAAGCCAGGAAGAAGGTGAAACAGGGTTGTCCTTAATGCCTGAAGAACTGCAGTGGGCTCCCTCTGTAAGAGCTCTTCTTGTTCCTTGCCTCTTCTCTGTTTCCATAACTCTCAGCTTGGACTATTATATTTCTTAAGCCATTTACTAAAGTCTCCAGGAGCCTCATCTCCAACATACCCTAAAGATTTCTTCCAGAAAATCCTTCCCAGAGCACAACTATCACCATGGCTCCCTCTACTTTAGTGATTCCCTTGCAACTAAATGAAAAAAATTTCCTGGCTTGGCATTCAAGGGTTTTCATAATGTGGCCCTACTTAATCAATAAAAAAAAAAATGTAAAAAATTAAAACAATATGAAAGCATAGAATGTTAAAGGGGAAGTTTCCTTCTATTCTTCTACTCTCTCTCTCTCTCTCTGAAACAACCATCTTAACAATTTCCCACTCATTTTTGCAGCCTTATTTCTTCTGACTTCCTGTATATCTCCAAGGCTCCAGCTAAACGAATATCCCTGCCAACTCTACATATTTTTCCTTACCTTCCTGTTCCCAAACCATTGCTCGTAATATTCTTTAAACCTGGAATGTTTAGAATGTTCTTCCCTCAATCTTAGAATTTTCAAATTCTACCAATCCTTTGAGACCTAGCTTCCATGTCACTTGCTCTTGTAATGCTCTTCCCGATCTACTTATTAAAATTCTTCCATTATGCTTTGAATTCTCATAGCATTTCTTCTAGCTCCTGCTTATGGCACTTGTTATTTTATTTTCTGCTCTTTGGGTAAGCCAGCCTGCTCTACCTAAATGTAAGCTCCCAGAGCCAGAGACTATTTTTCAGTTCATCTCCGTACCCACTACAACTTATATCCTTGGACCTTCCATGGACATAGTGGAAATTTAACAAATTCTCTTGAAGTGAGTAAGAGAAAAGAGCCCAGAACTATGGCTTTGGTTTTAAATTTACCTTTGAAAATTCCAGTGACACTACCCGTGATGACTGTGTTCCCTTAGCATCTCAAACAGTTAGAGGATGTGGTGAGTCATCAGGGGCTTTTGAATATTGATGGGCTTCACGTGGCTATTTAGAACTTAGAGTGAGAGAACTGAAACAGAAAACAAAATGAAACAAACAAAAAAAAAACGCCAAACAAAACCCCCAAACAAAAGAACAACAACAATAACAAACTAAAAAAGAGAAAAACAACCCCAAAACTAAAATAGCAAGCAAACTATAAAATCCGTGCTATTGTAAAGAGAACAAGATGACTCTTTTTAAACCATGGAGCTAATAATTACTTCCATTTCATTATTTCAATAAAACCAAAACCAAAACAACAACAAAAAGTCCCAAAGTCTCTAACCTTCCTTTGCCTTGGCAGGCTGCTTGTACCTTGAGTCTGCAGGACTCTCTAACGAACCATGAATTCAGTTTCATTTTCTTTTAACACAAGAAATTTGAAAGGAGTCATTTTTAGCATAAAGTCGGGGTAAATGGAAGAAAGGGGAGGGCCATCAAAAAGGTGAGACAGTTTCACAACAGTCTCAGAATGGAAGACAGTCAAATTTACTTGCTTTCTGCATTACCAACACCCCCAGGGATGATTAACAGGAATTGACAACACCTACCTAAGGCAGAAGAAATACTTTCAAAACAACATGCTTACTAATTTTCTGTATTTGCTTTAGAGTACACAAGCTTCTTGTATATAAAATAATGTAATAATAAAAGCCCAATCAACTGCTAGGATCTTAAACATTGTAACAAACTATCCCATTACCTGTTGCTTTGCAGCATTGATTCATCTCCAACAATTTTCATCCCGTCTGTAGTTTTGCCAAAAAATAAAATCAATCCCCCATCAATCCCTCCTCCAAATGCTTAGATTATTATCATCCATTTGTGAGCCTGCTCTTATTTAAAGTTATTGCTAGAACTATATCCAATGACAGTTAAAACAACTCAAAAGAACCCTTTCAACTGTAAGGCTTGTCTCCAAAACTCTTTTACCTCATTTGTACTTGGACTTTACAAACAATTTCCATTATTTTTTCAGTGATTTTTCTATTCAAGTAAACTGAATTCATTCTCCAAACAAAACTATAGTCCGCCTCAATAGCAGTATCAAGGGAGGAAAAGAGTTACTGAAAGTTAAGTATAATTATGAGTTAAGAAAGAGAGATTATGAGATGCTGTGGGGAAGAAGAATTATGAGAAGACAGATGGTGTGGGCAAGAGAAAATGGAAATTGAAAAGGTCTGCCACATAGCAAGGGGCTGGGCAGTGATATCCGAGGCCATTTCTCCACAGAAACATGGTGGGTGTCTTTGGAGAAGGCCAGTAAACGGAGTTTCTTCCATCATGAGCCTGGTTTCTAACATGGGCACTAATTGTGACTTTTCATTTCAGCAGAGATGCCAATGTTCTGTTCTCTACAGCCAGCGATGCCAATTGTAGGGCCAAGGGAGGAGTTCCTACCTGCATGAAGAGCCTCTCCAGCCACCCAGAGACCAGGTGGCTGATCTTTACTCTTTAGTAACCAAGCCCCGTTCACTCTACCTCCTAAATGCTTCTGATCCCCCGACCTCTCTCTTATCATCCTCATCCTTTCGCCTGGACTACTACACTATAAGACCTCCTAACTGTTCATGCAAACTTTGTCCTTTGTCAGTTTGTCCTGCACATGTTACTCTACCTGTCTTTCCAGCCTTTCTCTCCCCAAATCCCAACCATTCCAGACTTTTCACCTCCTAAAATGCTCCTTTCCACCACAAAGGCGCTGAAAGCTACTTGGGTGATTCCTTCTGTTTGCAATATTCCTCCCAGCCACACTTCCACCACAAGGCCTCTTTTGGGATCTTTCACGTCTAAACTTGAGGTGAGGTTCCCTGGTATGTACTCCTTCAGTAATATAATGGTATACTTTGTAATTAATCATTCAAGGCTCTCTTTGTCAGTCTGTAAGTGCTCTGAGGTCAGAGATTGTGTTTGTCCATGTACATCCTCATCTATAATATGGGATGAAACAAGATCTTATAGGATAAGGATTAGATGAGTTAGTTCAAACGGAGAACTTTGAATAGTATCTGACATGCATAAGGACTATGTAAGCTTTAGCTATAATAATAATTAGATGGTACTGAGAATAAAACTGTACTAAATAAATATATGTTGATTGAATAAAGAAATGAATAAATTGATGGATGAACTCATGAATTCACGAATCCAGAGGGCCTCTTTTTTTTTCCCAACCAGTTGTTATCCATGATAGAGTATGAGAATGCCATACAGAAAACAATCAGAGAGAGGAATTGCTTTTCCATGCCTACAGCCACCACGATAAATGGTGAAAAATAGCACTTTTGGTTTCCTGTGATTTTGAATTTACCTTACCACATTAATAAAAAAATATTCAAAGCAAAAAGATTTGGAATGAAGAGATAAAGGGGGTCAAATATATAGCAATGGAAGGAAATTAGACTTTAGGTAGGGAGCATGCAATAGAGTACACAGATGTCGAATTATAATCTTGCACACCTGAAAATGATATAATGTTATGAACCAATGTTATCCCAATAAATGTAAATAAAAAAAGAGATAAAGGGATATAATATCATGAAATATACTTCCAAACTTCTCGATTTTGTCCTTATTAACTAAAAAGTTAATGAATACCACATTCTAATTATTCCTAAGCTAAATCCTTTAGAAAACCATGTCAGGTCATCCATCCCAACAAATGTTTACACAGAAAATTTCAACCTGTATTGCTAAAAAGGAAAGCTTTCTATTCTTTTGTTTTAGTACATTCCATACTCCAGATTCCTCGATGTCTTCAAGAGAAAGACATCAGGTACATTACTATGCATCGTGCTCTGGCTGGTCTAATAGAATGAGAAAGTGCACAAACCAAGTTGGGCTTCTAGTGTGGTTCTGTAGTTGCGGTACTGACGCACTTATCAAAAGCTACAAATGGGGAAGGAGCCTCTGAGTTGGCACAATTCTGCAAAATTATCTGACAAAATTTTGTTCATTTATTGTCCTTTAAGGCAGACTGTGATAGTAATTTTAAGTTATTTTACAGCAGATAGCACACTCGAATTTAGAAATAAGCACTGTGTCATCACATCAGTAATGTAACATCTGTCCTTATTCTTTTCCTCTTATATCAGGGGAAATCTTTTGTTCCTATCTCTAAAGTCAGTTTTTCTACTATTGCCCTGGACCCATCATCTATTTCTGCCTCTGATCTCTGTGACAATTCAGACTTTTTTTTCTGTCCAGCCATCACTTTTAGAAACTGGTATTTTATTTAACAGATTTGATAGTTATAAAAATTCTAACAAATAAATTGATAGCGACTTCATACTTGCATATTTAAAACTAAAGGATGCTATACTGAATTTCATTATGAGGAATGAGGAATACTGTTTTATTTATTTTTTTCAGGATGGATGAACATTACTTTTTTTGTTCTTGTTGTTCTTGTTGCTATAGCAGCAGTGGCTGTGGCTACAACTATAAAACCTCAAGAAATATTAGTAATAATAAACTAACTGCAGAATTACAATGATGATGAATAGAACGTTAAAATTATAATTGTTTACTTTTTTACTTTTTATATAGATATATAATTTATGATAGTCTATGGTTTCTATGTAAAATTATGTAATATATATTTACAAATAAATATCGCTAACCTGTTTTTCTGTGGAGCAAACTGGATCTGTACCCAACAGCGCTGGAGTCATGGACTTGCGTGGGAGCTGAGGATGGCAAAGTCCTCGGACCTTCTGGGTTCCCGGGTGGGAAAGGTGAGCTCTGTGAGTGTCTGAATTCATTTCTATCCATGCTAGATAAGTGAAGAGCATCCTGAGCTTTCTTCTTTTCCTTCTTTAACATATTGACCAGAATATCTGAGACTCGACTTAAGGATTTAGTGACTCATGCTAGATTATAATGATCAGAACATGAACGTTTCAAATGAGATTAATATTCTCTATAATATTTACTATTTGTCACATGGTAAAGACTAAAGGAAGTCTTCAATTTCCTGAAGTCACAGATAGAGTTATGGACAGTTTAGGAGCCTTTTGGTCTTTCAATACGGAAAAAACGATAAACTCAAAGTTCTTTAAAATGTCCTGATTTTAACCAATTAAGCCTAAATTGTTTTTAAGTTTTATAAAAAGTAAAATGAACACTGAGTAGTAGGCAATGGAGCTATGTATATATCAATGAGTAAATAAGAATTTAATCCAGGAAGCTGCTCAGGAGGAATGGAGGAAGAGAAAGCCAGAACCTTCCAGCTGGCAGGCAGAACGACCAAATCAATCCTGGTGGCCAAAGTGACCCCCAGTATCCGGCACATGCTTAGTTAGAGTGCACTGAAATGGGGATTTAAAGTCACTTTTTAAAAAGTATCTAATTTTTGGTCCAAATGAAACTGAAAGGAGGTAAATTATTAGGATAGATTTATCATTTTAAAATGCACCTTTTGCAGGCCATTTAGATATACTGGGAGCACTGATGATAAGTGATAAAATCATTCCATTCTACTGTATTTTACCATTTTTTCAGGTTCAGAATGCCTAGAACTCTGTGGGACTTTTGCCACCACTGAAAGGAAAGACTATAAGCCCTCCTGAGAATGTCAGAGCTCTAACTGCATGTGCAGTAAGGTAAATTCAAGAACTTCACCATCCCTAGAGATGGCTTTATTAACATAGGAATTTGAAGAAATATGATGGTGCAAAAAAGAAAACTGAAACCCAGACAGGAGGGGAGGCGTCCAGTTACACTTATTCTTGGGCAAGTAACATGGAAGTCGTTTGACCTCCATCTTCTTCAGCTTTGACTCCAAGTTTTTTATTTCTGGAAGGATAAACAGTTTTTCTCTCACAATTTCAATGTGGCTTCTATTCTTTCTCTCAAAGAAACTTGTACCCACCAGCGGTGTTCAAAACTTCTGTAGTGCCTATGCATCAGCCTGACAGAGAACAAGGCTCTGCCCAGATCTTCTATCCTCTTTGTACGCACCTGATTTCAATAGTATCATACTCTTTAATTGGTTTGTGTACATTCCTTCATTTACCCATTCAAAGATATTTATTGGAGCTTGTACTATGTTCCAAGCACTATTTCAGGCACAGGCAAAGTACGATAAAAAGGCAGACTCTCATGAAGCAGATGTCCTACTGAGAAAAAGACAGATCTCTCTCTCTCTCTCTCTCTGCCCCCCCACACAGATAGCTTATTTAAAAAAGGTCAAGACTGATTGGGCTGTTGCTCTGCAATAGATGCTACCCTTTCTAAGAGCGACAATTAGGCTGAGGTCGAATGACAAGAACCAGCCAGAGGAAGAGTAGCTAAGCAGAAGAAATGACTGATGCTAAAACCCTAAGGAGAAATGGGCTTGGCAGTGGTTCCCAAACGGAGGCTATTTTACCACCTGGGGGACATTTGGCCATATCTGGAGACATTTTTGGTTGTCATACTGGAGTTGGGGGTATGTGCAGTTATGGAAATCTAGTGGATAGAAGCCAGAGATGCTGTTCAATATCCTACAATATATAGGATAGCCCCCCAAACAAATAATTATACAGCCCCAAATGTCAGTAGTGCTGAGGTTGAAAAACCGTGTATTAGAAAAACAAGAAAAAGCTCACTGTGACCGAAGCCTAACACACAGGGGCAGAGGCTTAAGAGATGAAGTCAGAGGGCTAGGCAGGGGCATGATTACCCAAGGCCTCACAACATGGAGTGAGGAGTCTGAAATTCATTCTGGGTTTAATGGGAAGCTCCTGTAAGATCTTAACCAGAGGAAAAATCTTGTTCTGATTTACATTTCATAAAGATCACAATACAAATTTATCTTGTTTGCTGCCTTCTTTCTTCTCATCTTTTCATTGTCTTCTTCCCCTTCCTAATCTATTTAACTTGGGCCTTCCTTTGTGTCAAGTGCTATGTGGGGTATCAAATAACACTCTGTTATATGTTTTCTGAAGGAGTGTCAAAACTTTATTCAAACTGATAGCGTCACTGAAACGACATCATTTTCACTCTCTTTCCAAGAAGAACATTCAACGTTGTTCACTGTCATTTTGGTTACATTACTGTTTTTTGTTGAACTATTTGTTGAAGTATTATCTCCTCTTTTCCCTGTAAGCCATATCTTCTTATTCCTCCTGTCAAGTCTTGGCCTTCTTGGTTTTACAAAAAAAGATATAAAATATTCTTCAACCGACTGTGAAAGACTATGAAATTTCAGAAACCTTTCTTGGTTATTAGCCTTGATAAGTGTAAACTCTGTGAGGAGTAAATCTTAGCTGCTATTTTCCCTCCTTCTGAGCTTACCTATTGTCTACAGTCATACTTTCCATTATATAACACTTTAAAGTACTCAAGGCACTTTCCAGTAAATTATCTTACTGGCTTTGCTCAGCGCAGTGAGGTTGGCAGGGCAGGTCTTATGCGTCTCCTTCTGAAGATGAGAAAACAGCTTCGTTGAATAGTCAGTCCAGAGGTGTTCTTTTCACCATACCTCTGACACACCATCGTTCTGAATATGAGTCTCAGAAGAAGAGGATCTCGCTTGAGTTATTCAGCCAGGAAAGACTCTAGTGTAGCCCCACATGAACAGCAGTACCCAGCTTCGCCCGTGAAGAGGGGAGATGATGTGTGTCTCTCTCACTCTCTTTTTAAAATAAACATATATGAACAAGCCTAGACTATTCCCTCTCTGTCATATCTCATTTCATCCCTCCTATATTCACAGACATTTATAAACCCAGAGGGGATTAAGAAGTTGGTAGGAGCATTTAGGGGAGAAGATCCTAAACTAGGATCAAGGCCAGGAAAAGAAGCAGAGCTCAGACTGGGGCCGGGGCCAGGGCTGAGGTCTAGGTTGGGACCATTGCAGAGATGGATAGGGTAAGAGAGAGGAAAAGGAATGCAAGGGTGACAACACTTGTGGGCAGCACTCATAGACAAGGGCTTGAGTGGGAGTGTAATTCACAGTTGAACCCACTGTTATTGGTCTGATAATAAAGCAGCTAAAACTCATTTGAATCAGACATACAGGGTCTGCTAATACTCAACTAAAATTAGAGACTGAAGTTAATCAGGCAGTGTGCCTACCTCGTATTTGGTTTGTTTTTACCTCTTTATTACTGGATTTCCTTCATATAGGTTATTTTTATCCACTTTGCGTAATAGCTGAAGCTAAAATGCCTGTTAGTGATTTTTCAAAAAGTAACAAAAATATCTGTTCATAAAGAACTGAGCAAAATAATTTATTATGCATGACCTTAAACAAAGTCTGCAAATGTAATGAAAATGTCAAATCTTTTACAAGAAGCTTGAAAGATAAAATAAGAAACAATACTGGAGGAATGTTGGGGAGCCCTGAGATCTAACGTACCCAGCGGGGGCTCTTTAGAAGTAACCACCTAGCTTGTCACTGGAGGCAACTCCCATGGGTTGCTACCACATTTAGCTCCCAAAATACACTGCCTCCTAGAGTCTGTAAGAGTTGTCTTGAATGCTCATCTATACTCACTTCCAAATTTGGGAACATTTGTAAGTGGAACCCAAAGCGGTAGATCTGGCTTTTAAATAAAAAGTTACATTTAAATCAATCTCTGCTCTTCATAAGCTAAATACCATTTGCCATTTTTCAGCCATCATTTGAGTTTCACCCACACACCAGCTACTAATTCTGGGCCATGGTGAGGCTGTGGTCAGCCTGGTGTCCGGTCATCTAGCTAAAGATAACCAGTTAACTTACTGGCTCAGGACTAAAACAGAAAGAGCACCGCAAAATAGTCAAAAAATATTTTTAAAAATGTAATGATAAGAGATGGTGTAAAAAAGCCCATATTTTTCAATAAACTGAACATTTCCCTGCAATAGTAAATATATTTGGCTAAAAAGAAAGTAAAATTTTTTTCTTTTCTATCAACTCTGTTTTTCATTGGTTGCTCCATTTTGTTTGCTGAAGAGACATTTTATTTCTCAATGAAAAGAAACTATGTGAACTGAAAGCAGGGTTAGGAGGTAGGTGGTGTGGCTAGGGGGAGACATCTAAGTTCCCCCACTACCCTGGTCAAGCCAGCAGAGAGAGAGTTTCTTATCGCTTTAGAAAGGATACTGATTTCATTATCTCTCTGCTGTAGAATATCTCTTAGCTTTTTATATTCTTCTTCTTTTAATGGTTCTTGGCAGTTTTGATCTTTGATTTCGGAGGACACTGTGCTCTTTTCATGGATCTTCTTGTCATGCAATAGTTTCTGTAAGATGAAATAAGAGCTTAGTGTCCATGCCTCTATTCTAAATTTCTTTGACTCTTTGCACCTTTAAAAATTCTTTGCACAAATCAGATGTGAATGTCTTTTCCTGCCTCCTTGTCTTTTCAATGCAGTTGCCTTTGCTTGGTATGTCTTCCCTCTCTACCTGTCCTCTCTCCTTCCTCATTCCCCTCTTCGCTATCTGACCTCTTCTTCCCTAAACTGGGAAATTCCTGCTCGAACATTATTTCCTCTTGAACTTCTTTCCCTGTCTCCATAACCACATACCATTTTTAAAAACAGCACTTACCATGTATTGTAATTATTCTTTACATATTTGTCTTCTCCATGACTTACTTATCCAACTTTGTTTTCCCTATGCCTGGCACATAGAAGACTCATGATAAATGTTTATTATCTTAAGGAAGTATGCCAAATTATAAGTGAGGTAGAAGCAAAGGTTAATGATACTCTCACTGCGTCATCATAAAAGGTAAAACCTAAGGCAGACAAAAACTGAGGATTTATATGGATAAAATAAAACTACTGGAAAAATATGAAGGACCCAATTCTCTTGATACAGCTTGAAAATAGATGGTTTTTGAACATGGAACTATTCTGTGTAGAAAGTAGAGATTTCTGGCAAAAGAATTAGAAGTCCATGGTGATCTTATTTATTGGCAAGTAAGATACAAACTCGAAAGAAATTCAGTGATAATCACAGTCTTAGTTCCAAGATCATATTGTTCCAGAAGTGTGAAGCTGGATCCTAACCTTTCAAGAGCTGGTCAACTAGGAAAGCTTTATTGCAGTTTGAATATGACAGACAATGGGTTCTATTAGAGGAAATGCTTAAATTTACCTTTAAATGATGGAAACAGTGATGAATTTTACGCATATCAGCTCCAACCTCTAGTCTACTCTCTGGATCCTGGTCTTCCAGAAAGGATGTAATTAGTTTTTCCAGCCTAAAAATACATAATGTATGAGAAGCAACTATGAGCTAGAAACTTTAGAAATTCTACTAGCATTACTTGGTTGGTTAACATTTGAAGTATAGGATATTGTTCCCACTTCTTTATGGAAATATAGTAATCTAGTTTGACTATAAAAATTAAGGATAAAGAAACACATTGACAATGTGAAATCTGAAATGATGCAATTACTTGTAATCAATTTGCAATGAATTTTCATATGCATCTTTCAATATAAGAATCATTTGATTTCTACAAAACATGCATTCTAGCCAAGCTGAATTTCTATGCCCCTGTGCCTACCTGCAACACTGCTAGAGAAAGTAATGAAAACATTTATTAGTTTCATTAAAAATTCATGGTACTCACCCTCAACAATGACCTCAGTGATATCCCACGACCTTTTGAATCATTCCTGATTGACTTATATTCTTCATAATGGCTATTCCAAATCTTCCCATAGCCCTCAAGTCTATCACTATTCTTTCACTCTGCCAAGAATGTTGCTTCTCACTAGACTGACACAGTCACAGCTGTTATAAATGGGCTCCTTTGGTTTCTTTTCCTTCACATCAGAGTGTCTCTGCCTCACCACTCAGGCCCTCTTCCTTTTTTAATATATTTTGAATGATATTCTTCCTCCTTCTTTTGACCAACTTCTCCCCCTGAACTCTCTTCAGGCTTCTACCATGGTTGCCTAATCAATCTCATCTTTATCACCTCTCCATACTGACTCTTTGCTTACAATGATTTTCATGTTTTTTCTATTCTAAAACGAAACAAAATAGAAAACAAAACACCTCCCTTTGGAGCTACCATCCAACCACTTTATTCTGAAGTCCCACTTTGGTTTGTAGCTTTATGCTTAACACAGTCCACGTTGCATTCTAGAGTCTGTACCACCTTAGCACCCCCATTGGTGTGTAAGCCTTGTGAGACAGTTCTTGGCTTTTATTCATCTTTGTGTTCCCTCTCCTCCGCCCTGTTTGTAGAGCTGTGCACACATTAGGTTCTCAGCACAAATACATTAGTAAATGGAATCATTTCCATGGAAATTATTCCCCTCTATGTTGAGATGGAACTCTTCACAAGTAAGGTATTAGGATGGCAATCTGTGTCAAAGATGCGATGTATCATAATAGAACAGCAGCATAACTTTCTCACATTATAATGAAAATATTTGCATGGATTTAGCATCTTTTTAAATTGTATATATTTCCCTTCCACTGTTACTATGAGCCCACTCAAATAAGATGTAATGATATTCATCATATACCAGCTTTAGATTTTATTTTTATCTCTTCCTAATATCTATGACATGTAACAGCTGATGTTTACAAGTGCGAGACCATTTATATTGTAATTTTAAGGAGTTTTTTCAGGTGAAGAGATACTTGTCATTTTCATTATTTGCTAATTGACAATATGCTTCTTTGTAGAATACAGCTTCAAACCACCAGACACACAGAGAGATTCATTTCTGATACAGATTTTTATATGTTTTATATAAAATATTATAAAATACGTGTTTATGAACAAAATCCCCCCAAATTCCAAACAATATAGATATGAATAAGTTAAAAAGTAAACATTGCTCTTTTCCCCTCCCCCCATTCTCATCTTCTTTAGTCATTCTTGATGCCTTGGGGAATCCATTGTTAACAGTTGAAATATGTTCTCTCTCTCAATGAAGCAGATACCTATATCCATATGTTTGTTTGTAGATTTTGTTTGTTTTTATAAAAATGATATCACACTATAGATAGTGTCTGCATCATTATTTACCTAAACAATATATCACAGACAATCTTCCACGTTGGTACACACATAGTAGAGCTATTTCATTTTTAATGGTTACATAATATTCCACAGTATAGGTATATTGATCCTCTGTGATGGATATTGAGGTGGCATATTCATAGTTGCTACTTCTGTAACCCATGAGGAGGCCTGGATCTACAATTCCCACTTAATGAAGCTTCAAAACATAGTAATGTTTATCTACTTGTATTTCCCTTGAATACTTGGCAGAAATTTGGGAACTTTGAAAATCACCATTAGTTCTGGGATATATCCATTTTCTGGAGTAAAAGCATTTTGTGGTATCCAGTGTCCATAAAAATTTCCAACAGACAATATTAGGCTATAAGTTATGGTTAATCAATCGATTCTTCTTCCTGCTTTTTCTTTAGAAAATAATCTCTTCTGTCAGTCGTAAAGTACATATTCTAGGAAACATTCCATGAAGGAGGGCAGAAGCAGAGACATAGTTCATAAGAAAGCATTATGATATACAAGCCTGATGATTGGATGAGTGACCACTGGCCGATCACTCAATTCTCACTGGGCTTCAGTCATTCCATCTTGTCCCATATGGTAAGAGTATAGGATACAAGAAGGAGCAGGGACATGATCCAAAGAAATGGTTAAAAGCTTCTTTCAATCGAAAGAACTGGATTGATTTACTCTTCCTGGGACTCAATTAGTCTGTTATAAAACTAAGAATGAAAATCAGGCCTTTTGACGTGCAATTATTTTCTCAGCGTTTGAGACCACAGAGGCTCTTTAGATAAGAAAAATGCCTGGTCTTTTCCTTCATACAATTGATGTATCATTGGATTTATTTTCTTATCAACCAAGGACATGGATTAATAATTAAAATGCAGAAAAATGCCTAATTCAGATGTTTCCCATTGACCCATAATTCCCTGCATTGTCCTATCTCCAAAAATAGCTCCCAAGTTCATACCTAGTCACTGTTCCCACTGAGGGGTCTCCCAGCTGCCAGAACCCTGCTGGACAGTGAAGAACTGTTTGCAGAAAAGGCTCTCTAAGTGAATATGATAAAGTCTGTTCTTTAGGAAAAGCCTAAGTAAACAAGAAACTTTACTTTTTCTCTACTTTCATCAAGAAAAAAGAAGGAATAGAAAAGAATCCTAGGGAAGAAGTGAAAATAAATGTGTACCATTCAGTTCTAGTTCATATGAACAGGAAAAATCACAGATAATCTACATGCGTCTGAATACATAACCTGGCTGATGGTAGATGTCTGCTAATGAGACACCTCTGATGGCCTGTAGCAATTCTACTGTATCGCAAATTTTGATACCTAGCTACATAGTAAGAATTGACCATATTTCCTAATATGTGCTTTACCCCCTTGAGAGCACTGTACTCTTTTCTTTCTGCTCCCTATTTTCTTGCCCCAAAGTGGAAGTTTTGTTTGCAGCCATATTTTTGTGGAAATTTACATTTAATAGTATGAATAAAAAGTAAAAGCAAGTTAATTATCATTAACAAAAGTTAATATTACTTGAGCAAGCACTAAATTCTAGACACCGTTCTGGGCCTTCGAATACGTTATTTCCTTAATCCTCACAATGACCAGATGAGATAAGTACTATTATTACCCTCATATCATAGGTGAAGAGGCTGAAGTACAGAGGTTAAATATCTTTCCCAAGGTCACACAGCTAGCAAATGGCAGAGCTGAATTCAAATTCAGGTAGGCTGGCTTCAGAATCCAAGTTTTTAAGCACTATAATTACCACACTGTAGCAAAGTTACTAAATTTCTTTAAATACCACATTAGGCAATGTATTTATAAACTTGTTTATTCATACTTTACTAAAATGACTCTGACTAGGGCTTTGCACTATTACTTTTCTAAACGATTTATCACATATAATCTTCCATGTCAGTACATATATAGTAGAGCTATTTCATATTTAATGGCCACATAATATTCCACAGTATGGGTGTATTGATACCATACCTACTAGAATTCTTTGAGGAGGAAAATAGGTGACTAGACAAGCAGGACATAACTGAGTAGCAGCTGCTTAGATCTTAACAAGAGCACTGACCGGCATGATTTATAACAGCAAAAGGAGTTAGAAAAGAATCAAAATGCCCCACACTATGAAATTAGTTAAATTACAACATAGTTATATACATAGTTAAGCAACTATTTAAAATTATGGTGAAGAAGAGAAAGGTATATTTATTGACATTAAAAAAATACTTATACTATATTATGATAGGTTAACAATGAATCTCTTTACAGGGATTGTGCAAGTATCCTGTAACTAACCCAAAAAGACAGAAGAGAAGAGATAAAAAAAAAGGAAGGAAGAAAGGAAGGAAGGAAGGAAGGAATGAAGGAAGGAAGGAAGGGAAGAAAGAAGGAAGGAAGGGAAGAAGGAAGGAAGGAAGGAAGAGAGGAAGGAAGGAAGGAAGGGAGGAAGGGAGGAAGGGAGGAAGGAAGGAATGAGAAAAAGAAGGAAGGAAGGAGAAAAAGAAGGAAGGAAGGAGAAAAAGAAGAAAGGGCAGTAATCCTGAGACTTTTGCCCAGTTGCCTTTGGCTCAAGAACATTTATTATCTCCCTGTGAAAAGAGAGACTAGTGATCAAAGCTAAACTTGCTCTTCTGTAATATTTTTATAATTATGTTACATTTAACTGTTTATTAAATAAAGTTCATTTTTTTTATATATTGAGTGTGACTATGTTTTCATTATTCTGAAGTAATCTTTGTAAGAAAATTTTATGAACATGTTCCTGTCAGTGTTAGCTTTTAAAAATGCCCTAGAAGCCATATCTTTATGGAACTGATTGTGGGAGAGTTAAACAAAAGAAGAATAGGGCATCAATAAGAAGAGCATACCTAAACTGGGGGATGGAAACTCTGGCTGGTTCTAAAGCACTGGGGCAAACATGGGAGGTGTGCCCCAGGGAGTGGGAGGGGGGTATGCTTTTGTAATTGGGGGACAAATTAACAGAGGTGTCACACAGCACCGTATTACTCCAGGGAATTTACTAAAAGCAAGGCTAGGGAGGGAAAAGTGATGAACCCTTGTCCTCTAATACAGAGCTGGAAAGCTTGAGGTGGAAAAAAATATCCCAGTTGCTGGAGTGGGGCTGTTTTGTGGTAGAATCATGGAAACACCTGATATCCTTGAGCTGATGGTCCTTAGTTCATCTGGCTTCTCACTG